TCTCTCTAAAATGTCTCTGCTGCAAACTCTGTCTCTCTTCCTCATCACAATCCTCAACTCCAACTGGGTTTGCAGCACAACAGAGTTCGTCTTCAACGCCAACTTCAACTCCTCAAACCTCCTCTTATTCGGCGACGCAACGATCCAACAACGACACTCCTCCTCCTCCTCCTCAAACGACAACAACAACAACAAAATCCTCTCCCTCACAAACGACTCCACAACTTTCTCCATGGGCCGAGCTCTCTTCCCTTCCAAAATCCCCTCATTAAACTCCACCAACACCTCCTTTTCCACCTCCTTCATCTTCTCAATCTCCTCCGTTAACGGCTTCCAACCCGGCCACGGCTTCGCCTTCCTCTTCACACCCTCCGCCGGCCTCGCCGGCGCCAGCTCTTCCCAGCATCTCGGCCTCTTCAACTGCACCAACAACGGCGATCCCGACAACCATGTTTTCGCCGTCGAGTTCGACGTTTTTAAGAACCAGGAGTTTCAAGACATTGACGATAACCATGTCGGTTTGAACGTTAACTCTCTCACTTCCTTAGCTTCCGAACCCGCCGGGTATTGGGTTGGCGAAGAAGAAGAAGAAGAAGATGATGATATGGAGTTCAAGAAAATTGAGCTTAAAAATGGGGTAAATTATCAAGTTTGGATTGATTTCTTTGATTCGAGGATTAATGTGAGTATGGCTCCTGCAGGCAAGAGAAGGCCTAGGAGGGCTTTGATAAGCGAGTCTCTTGATCTTTCTGATGTTTTTTTGGATGAAATGTATGTTGGGTTTACTGGGGCAAGTGGGCAATTGGTTGAGAGTCATAGGATTTTGGCTTGGAGTTTTAGCAACACAAATTTTTCGATTGGTGATGCTTTGGTGACCCGAGATTTGCCTTCTTTTGTGGCGGCTTCTGAAGGGTCAAGAGGGCTTGTTGTGGGAGTTAGTGTTGGTTGTGTTGTGGTGGTTTGTGGTTTGTTGGTGATTGGGTTTTTGCTTTTGGTGAGAAAAAGGAGGAAAACTAATAAAGATGAGGAAATTGGGGAATGGGAAAGGGACTATTGGCCACACAGGATTGGGTATAAGGAGATTCACAAGGCAACAATGGGGGCTTGTTGTGGGAGTTAGTGTTGGTTGTGTTGTGGTGGTTTGTGGTTTGTTGGTGATTGGGTTTTTGCTTTTGGTGAGAAAAAGGAGGAAAACTAATAAAGATGAGGAAATTGGGGAATGGGAAAGGGACTATTGGCCACACAGGATTGGGTATAAGGAGATTCACAAGGCAACAATGGGGGTTCTCGGAAGAGAATGTGATTGGGTTTGGAGGGAACGGGAAGGTTTACAAGGGGGTTTTAGCAGGAGGAGTTGAAGTTGCGGTGAAGCGGATTTCGCTTAAGAATGAGCAGGGAATGAGGGAGTTTTTGGCTGAGATTTCAAGCTTGGGGAGATTAAAGCATAGGAATTTAGTGGGGCTAAAAGGGTGGTGTAAGAGAGAGAAAGGAAGCTTGATTTTGGTTTATGATTATATGCAAAATGGGAGTTTGGACAAGAGGATATTTGAGTGTAGTGAGAGTATGTTGTTAAGTTGGGAAGAGAGGATTAAGGTCTTGAAAGATGTAGCTTCTGGGGTTTTGTATTTGCATGAGGGTTGGGAAGTTAAGGTCTTGCACAGAGATATCAAGGCCAGTAATGTGTTGCTTGATAAGGATATGAATGCAAGATTGGGAGATTTTGGCTTGGCAAGAATGCACCATCACGAGCAATTAGCCAACACCACAAGGGTGGTTGGGACCGTCGGATACATGGCTCCAGAAGTGGTCCAACCCGGCCGAGCCTCGGTTCAAACTGACGTGTTCGGTTTCGGGGTATTGGTTCTAGAGGTGGTGAGTGGTAGAAGACCAATTCAAGAGGGGTTTCCAAGCTTGGTGGATTGGGTGAGGAGGCTAATGGAAACAGGGGAACTAGTTTCTGCTCTTGACGAGAGGCTAAGGAAAATAGGTGGATATGACGTAGAGGAAGTTGAGAGAGTGCTTTGTTTGGGCTTGGTGTGTGTGAGCCCTGAGCCAAATAAACGTCTAACTATGGCGCAAGCTGTGAAGGTGTTGGAAGCGAAGAGTAATAATGATGGTGACATTGAGTATGAAGAGGAGGGGATGGAAGTGGAATTGCTACAGAGGATGAGAACTGTCGCGACGACATCATCGTCGGCGGCTCCGGAGGCACGGTGGAACTTGGGAGGGAGAGGAGTTCACCCTACGTTTGAGGAGATCAGAAACACCATTTCTTCTTCCAAGTCCCTGACTGCTCGGATATCATCCGAGTTGGCCGGTGACACTATAGTGTAGCTTGCTGTTTGTTGTAAATGGATGTGCACATTGCATAACTGATGTCTATGCATTAGCTCTTTCGTATTATGATCAGACAATCTATAGTACTATTCCTTCATTCATTTGTGCAAATTGGATTCATGGGATTATGGAAGGAAGTTAATTAGCTCACACACATTTAGCTTTGGATGAAGGCAGGCTTAAAACATCACCTATTTAGTGGTTACATTTGACATTTGAATAAGGAAACAAATCTCCAATACAATGCTATATTTATGTCAAATTTGACGTGTATCAAGTATAGCATATGCTAAAATTTGACATTTGGTGGCACATTAGTTATTTTTGTTAATTTTTTGCCTTTACAACATTGTTATTTTCAAATTATTTCAAAATAAAAATTTTCTTTTTACAAGTTTGAAATTTTAAAACTAATGACAAAAAGTAGACAGAAAAATCACTTTTGGTACCATGTAGTTTATAACACACTATCAAATTGCTGTTCTTGTGTTCAAAAAATCCCGTTAAAGTACTTGATTATTTAACATTGCCATCTTTGAATGGTATTTTCTCAAAATAGATATGTGTCTAAGATGGCATTGTGTAATAGTAAAATATAAAACAACAAATTAAATATGTAATTTTTTTTTTCTAAACATAACATTTAGTTGGACATGGTGTGACGAATATGTTGGACAAACAAAATATTTATGTCTACAGCAATCTTCAAGACTCCTTTGAATGATTACTATAATCTACTTAAACTACTAAGATCCATTAGAGTAAAAGTCATGATAAAAGAACACATAAATATATAGCTCTCCAAATCCTAGGAATCAAATATTTACATATTTTTTTGGAGAATAAATATTATACATATAAAATACTCTAATATATACACCACATTGAGAAAAATCATAATATCATATTTATGTTTTCAGAAATAAATAATTTGAGTATGTATTTCATTATGTATTTCTATTGATAATTTTTAACTTAGAATTAGGCGTGTGAAAATATATTAGTAAAAGTTTTGGGTAATCACACAAATGGTTCCTGAGCTTTATCTTTAATTCTATTTTAGTCCTTAATTTTTAAAATGTATCATTTTTAGTCTCTAATCTATTATTTTGTTTTCCTAATCTATCACTTTATTCTAATTTTGATCTTTCTGTTAGTTAAGTGTTAAATATTTGACGAAATTTGTAAAAATTAGAGACTAATATTGAAAACATCAAAAGTTTAAATACTATTTGTGTAAATTAACTTTTTTTTTTGTATTGTTTTAATCCATAAATTTTATTTCTTTTTTAAATTTTGATCCCTAATTTTCACAGAATTTAAAAAAAAAAAGAAAAAGAAAATAACTCCTAACAAAAGGTGGGACATTTTAGAAACTAGGGGTTAAAAGTGGAATTGAGAATATATGGGATTATTGGAAGACAAAAATTTATGGGGTTAAAAACTGCACACATTTAGGAATGGAATGAGGCAGATTTGGAGTGGTTGGTCTTCTCGCCAACTTGCCACGCGAACAAAAGCATTCTCTATACCTGCCTTATGAACTCGTATAAGTTAATGGGTTATGGGGTGGATTTCTCTGTCACGGGTTCAAGATATTCACAGTGCTACATTTACTCGAGTAGCTATTTTCATTGTAAAATAAATAAATAAATAAATGATACAACTAGACAAAGCATCAAATTAAAAATAAAAAAGGTAGTTTTAAATTTTCATATGTATTATGTAAGAGATAATACTTGAAAAAAGTATATATTATAACATAGGGATATTTATATTTTTATGTTATGTGTTTTAAGTTTATTTACAATCTATATCTTCAGTTTTTGATCTCATCAAATGTATACCTTCAAATTAGATTTAATACTCAAATTTATATATTTTCACAGTCAATCCTAAATTTTAATCTTAAAAATACCTAAAATATCCTTGAATAAAAACATAAAAAAGGAACAAAAAACCTAAAAAAACTTTAAACTTACAATTTTAACCTCTAAAATATGTATAATACTATTCAAATGGGTAAATTTGTGTCATTAGTTTTTAATTATCATAATATTAGAAAGTTTTTGTGTTTTTTTTCCTTTTTCTTAAGGATAGTTTAGTTATTTATAAGTCAAAATCAATTACTAACCGAGATAAGACATAAATTTGTATATTAAAGCTAATTTAAATATATACATTTGATGATATCAAAAATTAAAAATATATATTTTAAATAAACTTAAAACACGGAGTATAAAAAGGTAAATATTCCTATAACATATAATACATAATATATCTAATTTAAAATAGAATATAATTAAACAAAATGGGTAAACGAAGAATAAGATTGGGACCTCTAAACCAATTTTAACACGTTTACGATTTGGATCTGTTAAAATAGATTTACTACGTTCCATTTAGGCCCCGTTCATTTCACTGATTCGAGTTTAGAATTCGAGTTTTGTTACAGTAAAAAGCTCTCACAAACAATCACATAATACTTTTTGCTACAGTAAAAAGCTCTCATATAAAATCACATATAAATTCGAATTAAAAACTCGAATCAGCAAACTAAACGGGCCTAATGTGGGTCCCTGTGGATAATTGATTAATTAATACAATTGTCAACCTTATGCACAGTTGCGGGGATAGCTCAGTTGGGAGAGCGTCAGACTGAAGATCTGAAGGTCGCGTGTTCGATCCACGCTCACCGCAATTTTAATGTATTATTTTTTCCTTAAGATTCAAAGATGAAGAAAAAGAACGGATATAAGACTGTAGAAGTTCAATTCAACCTCCGACGACAGAAATAATTCTGAGCTCATTACTTGAGAGACACGCATTACTCCAGTTCCGAGAAAATTAAACTTCATCTCCGACGACGACCACCGGTAAATTTTCTCGATTCCTTTCTCGAATGTGTGTTTCAACAATTTTCTCTTCTTTTCTGGGGAAAAAATGCGTAATATGTTTCTCTGATGACTTGGTTATAGTTTTTTCATTTTCATTACATTATTACCGGTTTGATTGTTCTATGAGTATTACTTTCATTTGTTCAGACTCTACATTGCTCGTAGATTTCACGTCATTCAAATCTCTCTCTTTCTCTCTCTGTTTCTTTTCTTTCTTTCTTGGGTGTAAGCATATGGAAATGGGTTTGTTCTAAGCTAATTTTCAAGTTTTTTGTTTCTTTGTAACTATTTGAATATGTTTGTCAAGATACGTGCATTAATGGGTTTTAATTTGTTTAGGTTCGAGAGTGAATAGAAACGGTTCTTGAAACTTGATGTTTCAACGAACAACGAAAGCCGAATAATCCTGTCGTTCGATTATATATTTGTTCAAAGTAGTAACTACTGGTGGAATTCTTCTGAGCATTCATTTTCTTCATTGTTCATCAATCATGACGCCTAAAAGAAAAGCAGTAAACCGGTAAAGAGGAAGAAAGTTACATAATAATGAATTAGCAGAATTAGTGCAAATCACCTCAGGTATCAGAATTGAATGATTTATGTAATGATCCGCACCCATACCTTGTATGATATTGTCCGTTTTGGGTTTGAGCCCGCACGGTTTTTACTTTTGAACTTCACTCCAAAAGACCTCATTTCATTAGGAGGTGGTGTCATTTGTTATAAATCAGTATCTATCTTTATCCTCAGGTGATGTGAGACTGTACAACTTAGCCTTTCTTAAGCCTTGTGACTTAAGGGACTGGTGATTGTCACAATCACCCCTCTTTATGGGGGCTTAACGTCCCGTTGGCCACATTTCTAGCTGGATAGAGGCTCTGATACCATATGTAACGATCCGCACCCTCACCTGGTATGATATGGTCCGCTTTGGGCATGAGTCCGCATGGTTTTTACTTTTGGACTTCCCCTAAAAGGCCTCATTCTATTGAGAAGTGGTGTCATTTCTTATAAACCATAACCTATCTTCTGCTTTCATCCGCTGCATTCTTTCTTTCATTCCCACCCTTGAGGCTGTCTGGATGAGTTGCCTTTCGAAGCGTTGGAATAAGATGTGGCGCTTGGTCATTGAAGTGTGTTTTCGCAACACCAACAATATTACCGGACAAGCGGAGTTTGATGATCCAGAGCGGTTTTATCAGTTTGTAATAAAGTGTTTTGTTGAGCGATTGGATGACATTGTCGGTATTACAAATACGGGTGTGAGTAGTATTAAGCTTGACATGATGCAGCATCATCCTGCGGATGATTCGAAGACCACAGAGTATATGTTGCTTTCGACTCTGTTTTCGAGGGATTAGTTGAAGGAATTATGTGGATGTTTGGTTCATGGATTCAAAATCATGATTCAGAACTATTCTCGATTTACATATTTTTTTTGTGAAAAAAAATACTGTAACAAATCACGAATTATAATTCAAATTATGTCATGAATACACCAACCAGAAGAAGCTCTCTGGCTCGGATTCTATACTCCATTCCACTTGGTGCGTGTAGGTTAACATCATTGACTTTTGTAAAGTTGTGTTGTGGTGTGGAAATATCGAACCACCAAATAACTTCTATTAGCCTTCCGAAGCTTATAACTTTGGTGTTAGAGAAGGTTAAATTCGGTGATGAGGTACTCAACAATCTATTAAGAGGCTATCCTTCCCTTGAGAAATTTGTTTTAAAGGAATTTGATTGTTCGCATTTGGTGAATCCAAGAGTTCTGAATTTGAGCCTTTAGTTTTTGGAAATTGCTTATGCGCCTCGTCGGTCTAGGTCTTCTCGGAACCTTCTAATTCAGGATCGTGAGCTAACATTTCATGTTGAAGCTGTGAATCTTCGGTCTTTTGTATACAGTGGAGTACCTCACTACTCCGACCTTCAGCTTTTATATTGTGAAAATCTTCAACATCTCTCATTTTCGAACGCGACATTGCATGATCACAGCTTTTCTGAAGCCATACGTTATAGGCTACCTCTTCTTGAGAGTTCGAGTTTTTTTAACTGCAAGTTTGAGCACATCACAATCCGTAATCAGCACCTAAAACGCTTGGTTTTCAGAGGAAACAAACGGGTCGCGTGGTGGGGGCAAACATTGAGGCACCGAGTTTGGTTTCTTTTGGCTTTGAAGGTGATTTGTTGTCCAATTTTTCAATGGTTGCACCAAATATCTCGCAAGCCGATCTCCAACTTCACAGTGGTACTTCAGTCTTTGTGATTTTCTCAGGTATGTTGATGGTTCAAAGAGAATGAGCCTGGGAATTCACTCTGAAG